GATACAATGCCTTGATACAATCTGCCCATCTTTTGCTTCCAAGAGCATCCAAGCTACGGGCTGAGCCGCACAGCTCGAATTACCGTGGCACCTCCCACGACCAGCCGAGCAGCATCCGTAAATAGGCATCATGAGCCCAAAATTGGATGTTCAGCATTCAATTCAATCTACCAATATCTACCAATACCATCCTTTCTCTACCTTCATTTTCCCCTGACACTTGTGAGAAAAGCCATGTAAGTGTCTTGTCACTCTGTTGATCAACAAGAAATGCGACGCTTCTCTGGCACTGGAAGCCGGAGGCGTAGTTGATTATATGTAGTTGGATAGACACATGATGGATGAATGACATGCGATAAAGAGAGGATAAAGATGTGTAGGCATCAGAGTATGTGCATGGCTACATTCATTTGGGGAATCAAAACCTGACAAAGGCATAGGCACCGCGCTGCAGCTGTACTGTGTGCAAGTGTGCTCGGTGCAGTGGGTGTCCTGTGATTGGCGCACTCTGTGAGCAGCAAGTATATTCGGTGCAGTCGCTGCAGACCTTCTGTCCGTAAGCAGGCGCAGCTCCTTCGAAACATAGCAAGCCTTTCATAGCAGACCTGTTTCCGCAAGCGAGGTCATACCCTGCTAAACACAGCAAGCCTTTCGTTGCAGACCTCTTTCCGTAAGCAAGCCCATCCTCATCTAAACACAGCAAGCCTTTCGTTGGCGGCTCTTGGACGCTTCTGCGCTTTGACGCTTGTGGAAGCTTTGGCGCTTCTTGACGCTTTGGCGCTTCTCGAAGCTTTGCCGCTTTGACGCTTCGTGGTGCTTCGACGCCTTGGCGCTTTGCGGCTCTTTGACGCTTCTTGAATCTCTGGCAACACAGCGGCGATGAACACAGGACACGGCGCATGAGTCTCAGAGCTTGCGGCTTTGCGGCTTCAGCGCTCCATGGCGGTGGCAACGCAGCGGCGATGAACGCAGGAGACAGCGCATGAGTCTCAGAGCTTGCGGCTTTGCGGCTTTGCGGCTTGAGCGTTCCATGGGTGGCTTTGCGGCTTCAGCGTTCCATGGCGGCTTTGCGGCTTTGCGGCTTCAGCGTTCCGTGGCGGCTTGGCGGCTTTGCGGCTTTGCGGCTTGGGCGTTCCATGGCGGCTTTGCGGCTTTGACGCTTTCCAGGGTGCGCGCGTGTACCCGCAGCGGCGATGAACACATGAGACGGCGCATGAGTCTCAGAGCTTGCGGCTTTGCGGCTTTGCGGCTTTGAGCGTTCCATGGCGGTGGCAACGCAGCGGCGATGAACGCAGAAGACAGCGCATGAGTCTCAGAGCTTGCGGCCATGGCGGCTTTGCGGCTTTGCGGCTTGAGCGTTCCATGGCGGCTTTGCGGCTTTGCGGCTTTGCGGCTTTGCGGCTTGAGCGTTCCATGGCGGCTTTGCGGCTTTGCGGCTTGAGCGTTCCATGGCAGCTTTGCGGCTTTGCGGCTTTGCGGCTTTGCGGCCTTGCGGCTTTGCGGCTTTGCGGCTTTGCGTTTTGCGCGTTCCATGGCGGCTTTGCGGCTTTGCAGCTTTGCGGCTTGAGCGTTCCATGGCGGCTTTGCGGCTTTGCGGCTTTGCGGCTTTGCGGCTTTGCGGCTTGAGCGTTCCATGGCGGCTTTGCGGCTTTGACGCTTTTCAGGGTGCGCGCGTGTACCCGAACCCGCGTGCAATGCACAATGACACCCGTCCTGCGGTCTGTCGCCTTGTAAACTACACCATAGGTTCCCTTTGGCAATCCCGGCTCCTCCCGCGACCCATCGCCGCGAACGGCCAATCCAGCTGCCTCTCGCTGTCTGTCGAACGTGCATTTAGACTCGGCTGCGTACGGAAGCTTCTCTTCGTCGCTCATGCCTTTCCAGATCTTTGCCGCAGCTCCGAGCTGCAGACCATTTTGACTCACGAAACATTGGGAAGGCCTCCTGGCCCTTGGGAATAGGATCTGATCTCCAGCCGCTTCTTGTGGTCCCAAATCAATGCAGCCCATTGGGGACGGATACAAAGCGCGGATGTGTGGATCATCGTATGGCTTGTGCCTATAAAATCCTGCTATTGTCGAGACATGTCCCTTGTTGCAAAGGCCCCATCCTAGCAACTGATAAGTATATATTTATACAACCCCGGATATCCAAGGGAGGACAGGCCACCTTCAATAGCAATTCTCCTGACGCAGCAAACTACTCTTTAAAACCCAATACATATACTCCTCTCATACAGGTATGTAAGTACCCCCCCTCATAGAAATATATATATATATCTCTCTCTCTCTCCCAACTCCCTAATTGTATATACCCCTCTCAGAACTCTCATGGATGAGGTCCAAGCTGCCCTGGAAATCCAAGGGACAATTTCCTTTTTCCAGGTCTGTTTTCAAAAAAAGCCTTTCACCCAATCGTGTTGCAAACAAATAGACTTACTTAACACAATGCACCACTTTACGAATGTGTATCTAACTTCTATCTATGTTATACGTGGGATCATCTCTCACACTTATTCTCCACATTTATAAATGAGAATCTAAAATAGGGATATATGATATGTATGTATGTAATGTTTCTGGCAACGGCTCCTGTATACATACAACACCTGTATACCGAAAAAAAAAAATAACCTACATACCTGCATTCCAAACATGTCCCTTCTGGGGGTCTGAAACTGGTCTGAAACTGGTCCGAAACCTCATCTGAGGCTTCAATTGTGTCCAGTGGGAAGGGGAGAGCCAACCATACAGAAGACTGTTTGTTTGACATAAACTTACTTACATATAGTCGTCCATTGTATTCGGGCACGCACGGGATGTATTCGGTAATATTGGCATCGTAATTAAATTTGTGGAATTACGGCTCCACGTCAACCGCATTACACATGCCTACGTACCAAGCCTTACATAGATACATCCATAAACACAAACATATAGATCCATACATGCATACATACATACCTACGTACCTACGTACCTACATGCCTACATATACCAAATCTGACCCTTCTGGGGGTCTGAAACTGTGAATTTTGCCCTGGATATCCGAGGGTCATACAAAAAATATTATGTGAATCATAGGAAAGGAGCTCCACACGTGTTTGAAAGCGCGCAAATGTTTCCACGCCTGCCAGACGTCGCAATGTTCCTAGGGGTCCCCGCGGCCCGCCGACCGAAACAGCTGCGAGAAGCAGCTTTTGTTTCAGAAGTGTAAACATGTATATGGATAAATAAATATTCATATACATATCTATATAAATTAATATCTATGAACCAGGCAGTTACTTCTGCCCTCTAATATATTCATATATATTGATATATATATATAAATAAATATTCATATGCATATATATATATATAATATATATATATATATATTTAATTAATATATGTATGTATGTCTCCTTATATATATACATATATATATATATATAGATATTTGTATGTATCTGTATATATATATAAATAAATAAATATATATAAATATAATTAAAAAAAATGGCGCCGAAAAATCATTAAAAAGAACCGCAAGCTATCGAATCGGAACACAACTAGAACCGCAAGCTATCGAATCGAAATTCAAAAAAGAATCCAAATCAAAAATAGAATCGCAAGCTATCGAATTGAAATTAATCAAGAATCCCTTACTAACGAACTTACTCCCTGTAGGACTCGACACGTTACGAATCGAATCGGTATCGGAATCAATTCTCTCGAAAACAAATTCTCTCGAAATCAATTCCTTGTATAAAAAATCGAATCGAAATCGCCAAAAACGAACCGGGACCACCCTGTATATATATATATATGTATATACGTATATATTATATATCACCCATACACCCTAGTCAACCAAGCTATTTGCGTCAACTTAGCCATCTAGGGATCCTCAACTTGTACCCACCCAGAGATGAAATCTGAAAGGAACGGGTGGTAGGAAGCGGAATTGCAATCAATCCACAGTTAAAACTTCCGCACTTCCAGGGATAGTTACCTTATGTTACCTTTACGTTCACCCTCATTTCTCAGGTGGCAAGGGAATCGCGAAATGGAGGCAGCTGGGAAAATATGGGAAATCCTCCATGGGTCCATTGCCAATTTGATTACTGGAGCTACATTAAAACCCCCCGAAGATACAACCATGGCCATAGAAACCCGCTGGTCGCTGGTGATTTTGAGCCATGACTTGGCCCATTCTCATCTGGTGGGCTTCAACCCGCTCTGTATCCCTACTGTCTGGTTAAGACCGGGATTCCCAGTTCATGGATGATATTATCAGCTAGTAATGTATAGTCAGGATTAATAAAACCCCCGAATTAATCATACCCGTTCTCTCCGGAAATTTTGGGACAATACTAAAGTCAATTAGGTGCTGTTTTCCCCCCCTAAGAACACTAAAATACCCCCTAATTAATCATACCCCTCCGGGATCCCCAAATTTTTGGTGGCACTAATTTGCTATTACTTCCCCTTTTACTTTTTAATTCGGGCTACAATTTCCAGGGTCACTTAGTGATCCTTTCCTATCTTATTCCTATTTTGATTCGTCTCATGCTGACAAAATTACTAAACCCCACCAGCCGCAAAGAGTCTTTTTCTATGCTGGCTTCATGTGCCGTTATCTTATTTTTGGCAACAATTACATCAGCATTGCATTGCCCGATGTTTCCTCATCCACCTCCCAAGAAAGTTTTTGGTCAATTTGTTTCATTTCAAGACGCCAAAAATTGAAAAAAAAATCCTCCCCAAAATGACCGGGGTTTATTAATCCGGTGTATACATCATAGTATATAGTCACATATTGGGGGGTTCTTAAAATAGGGCTACCCCAAATCATCCTTAAAATTATACAAAATGTTCGTAGCGAAACCCACGGTGACTTGAGGTACCTTACCCATTTTAGGATCCCCCAAACCAAAAACAAAACATCAACCAAGAGGGCTTTGGAAGATTTGAACACTGCCCTGGCCCTGATTTTAAAAACAACGTCCGAGGCACCCCGAAGACCGAAAAACCACCAGTTGCCATGAATCTCACGTCACACTCAGCTGCCATGGGATCCATGCTGCGCGCACCTTGGTGTGGGTCAAGCCCAAAGTGGGTCCCCAAGGGGGATCAAAAAAGTGGATGGGGTCCAAAAAGGACGTGGATGGTTTTATGATGTTTTATGTGTTCAATTTTCACAAACAAAGATCATGCGATCTAACTTGATCTATTACTTGATCTAACCCCCCATATCAAATATAGTTACTAAGTTGAAAACCGCTCTATAAAAATCAATGGTTGGCTTTGACCTTTCGTCCCGCGCCAAAAAGGCGCCCTAGCGGCTCGTCTTCGTCCCAAGGGCAGCACGTGCATCCCATTCAGCGCTGAGCGCCGACTCGTCGGAGCTGCCTCAGGGACAATCCCATGCTATCCATATGAAACTCTGGTAATTTAATGGGATTTTATGGTGATTTAATGAGATTTTATAGTGATTTAATGGGATTTTATAGTGATTTAATGGGATTTTATGGCGATTTAATGGGATTTTATAGTGATTTAATGGGATTTTATGGTGATTTAATGGGATTTTATGGTGATTTAATGGGATTTTATGGTGATTTAATTGGATTTTATAGTGATTTAATGGGATTTTA